ATGTATCAATATATATATATATATATATATATATATATATATATATATATATATATATATATATATATATATATATATATATATATATAGATGACGTGTTACGGGTGTCTCAGTCGTTTTCCAGTGAAACTATGCATATCCCTTTTATTGAAACTATTCTTCAAATTCATCACTGCTATTGAAGCAGTCTAATTTTTGTATTTGTCTATTGGAGGAATATAATTTTTAAGAGATAAAGATTTTTGAATATAAACCGTTCCACAAACTTTCTCTGTTAAATATGAAACAAAACAACCCATTTACTTAAGATCATAATTTCCATTTTTCTTTTTTTTTCTAGTTACTAAATAAATAAAACAATTAATGCAAAGGGTCAATCATTTATTAAAAACGACCGATAATAATAGTATAGCCAAGTAATGATCTCTGATAAACAAAAAAAAATCGTTTATTTAATTGAATAGCAAATTACTTGAATTATTAATTGCAAATATTACGTAAATTGCTCATTGGTTTGGTTCACGCGTAGTTGTATTTTATTTTTACTGAAAACAAAGACACGGTTTGAACACACAATGGTTCAAACTGAATTCCTTTGAAATTTTGCGTACAATATTCATTAAAGTAACAATTTAATAGAAGATATCCGCCTATTTCATTGGAAAATGACTGAGGCACCCGTAACACGTTATTTATTTATATACTAGTAATTAAGTATATGTACATGTACATATACAGTTATCGTGACTGCAATTATCATGATTATGAAGAGGCAGCACTTGTCAACGCAACAATTTTGGTCATGATACATGATAAATTATCTCGTTATGTCGAGATAGCTATCACAACAAAATGTGATAGACTATCTTGACTAGACGAGATGGAAGTTGGTGTATCTCAACAAAATCAGCAATTTATCTTGTTTTGACAAGATAGCTATCTTGACTTGACGCGATATCTTATGTTGACAAAAAATTATGTGGATGGCATAAATATGCCACCATAGTCGTCGATATATCTAAATGTCGAGTTGAAGGCCACAGCAAGTGTTTCCTTCTTTTCACGTATAAGATTTTGGACAAATTCTGCTTCATCAGTTCATATGAATACAAAAAAAGGTCTGTGTCAATGGTAGGGGTGACTGGTGCTGTCACGAAATCAGACACTGAAAATATGTAGAACATCTACGTTCAAACTCCCGGTGGACCCATAATAAAAAAAAATTCAAATTATGTATATAATTTTTCAATTTTATTTTGACTTCATTTTGTGCAAGTTTGTTAAAATTTCGATCAGAAATACAAGAGATCGTGAAAATATCAAAGCATGGAAAGAAATCTACAAATCTACGACGACAAAAAGGATTTTGACGTCAAGGCGGCGCAGCGAGCATACCTAACATTTTGTGTAACGCTATGGAGAAATCGTGTCCAGACTAAACGACCTCCAAACACTATAAATCCCCCCCCCCCCCAAAAAAAAACATGTCTAAGGATTTGGTTTTTCACTGGTATATTTTTTTCTTACAAATAATTCAACCAGAGTAAAAACCGAATGTTTCGGATGACCATCAATTATTACAGAATATATAAGGTTGATCAGTGGTGCAAAAATCGGCATTGCAAGGTGCTCTGTCGAATTCTAGTCAATTCGGCACTTGGTAAACTCGGCACATGGTGAATTCGGCACCTAGTAAAGTGAATTCGGCACCTGGTATATTCGGTACCTAGTCAACTCGGCACCCGGTATACTCGGCATCTGGTTAATTCGGCACCCGTTTATGAATTATAAAGAATATTATACAATGTAAATACTAACATATACTTTTTAAAATGTTTTAAATAATATCTTCATCAAACATTTTTCTTTGATTTTTGTCCGTGTGTGTTTCTTATTACAATTTACAAAGGTGTCAAAAATATAGCATTTATTGAGCATTTAAACAGTGATAATATAACTTTCACGTGAAAAAAAAGCCCGCCTTTTAATTCATGATGTTGGTCAACCCACTTCTCCTTTTCCTTTGTTTCTTCTATTTCTCAAAATAATTTGCCCAGCTTCAAAAATATTCAAAGAAAACACATCTGTAGTTTTGTCACATCAGAACTTAAGCCCCGTTCACACTCGTTCAAGCAGGAATTTCGTAAAAAAAAAAAAAGAAAAAAAAAAGACTTGCTTCTTGCAGTACAATATGCAGAAACTTTTTAGGTATAGAGTGCAGGACTTAGGGTCATTTTTCGAATATCCTGAATTTTGAAATTTTGAATTGTAGATATCAAGTCACTATAAAACTCCTGAAAGGTGTTTAATAATAGGTCGTTTTAAGTTTTATTCAAGGTGCGTGCAGTATCCACCCGTCCAGATGAGGAACTCGTTTCCGTAACAAATTTAAATCGAGTTGTTATTATAAGACATTAATTAAGTAATAAATATAGTGAAGTTTGAAAATGAGATTATTAAAATCTATACATTCCGTTATGATGTGGTTGTATTGAATTGGCTAGCATAGAATATTTCGGAAACATAAGATTCATGGGTAGTATCTCCTATTGTAATGAAAAAAAAAATATAAAAGAAGCTTAAGATTAGTAGTAAGATAGTACTAAATGGAATTGTTCATTGAAGGAAAGCTGCTCAAAGATACTTCACTCAAATAAATATTACAGACATCTAATTAAAAGTAATCTAATCTTACTTTCAAATTTCGTGCATGGAAATGAAAAAGTTACGTTAAAAAATACTAATTATTCAAATGAGGATCCAATTACAGCATATATACATAGCTTCGAGTAAACTTCCGTTTTCGTGACATTTTGAACTTGAATAAAGTAAAATAAATGTAAAAACAAATAGAAAGATCTTTTTAATTTTGGTTATCTAAACTTACCAAAAATACGCCATACAGTATATGGCTTTAAATTTTATGTTTGTATGAAATTTTATAACCGTACAAAAATATATGTCACTACCGTCCTTGTGTACATGATACGGAAATGACTGTAAAAGTTAACATTCATTTTGATTTTGATTTGTTTACTGCGCCATGTTCTATATTTTTACTTGATTAGTTAATATGAAAAGAAATTGATAGAACAACTCCAGTACAATAAAGATTCTTTTTAGAGCAGAAGGCTTGTTAGGAATCTACATATACAGGAGGTCGTGTAATTAAGGTTGTAAATATGATGCAACACACGTGTTAAATGACCATCGATATTTTATTACTGAATGTTGAACATTGTAATTAGATGATAAAATTCTCTAACGCCAACTAATTGCTGTAGGGATAACTAAAATAATTAATAAGTACCTTATAAGTTTGTTATGAAGTAAAATATACAAGGATTTTTGGTATAGCACTAATTTATTTAGTTAAAATTTTGGGAAGGGGGGGGTGTATGTACAGAAGTTAATTTTCAACAATATAAGTTTTGAAATTCTCGCCTAAAGATTTATATTAATGTTAATTATTGTTGTCTCAAACTAGATATTTTTTTTTCTCTTAAATGCAAAAGCATTCCTGGATTATACACGTAGTTATTAGAGTTATTTTTTTTGAGTGAGACAATTTTGTTGGTATGGTCTGTAAATAAATTGTGAATTATGAGCTCGATTAAATATCTGAAAGAAGGACATTTGCTAAAATTATCCACTTGAGAAATAATATTATGTCCTACTTGGTCAAAAATTCGTTGTTTGACAATGCATCCAGTTTTTTGCTTTATGTACCGGTACTTCAACACGCTCGCATAAAAAAAATTACGTTATAGCAATTCTGAATAATACAATTATTATGGACAACCATTTTCATTTCAAAACTTGGATATATACATTTTTGTTAAAGCAGGGAACAACGCGTAATTCTTAATATACACTTAATTTTTTTCTTCTATTTACCACTAAAATATGCATGTTACAAAAATCAAGATCTGTGTTTCTTCAGATGCATATTTTTTTTTAAATACAAATCAAGAAAATAAAGACAACAACTAGAAGTCTAAAATTCTCCATTAAAGATAATTAATATGTACTATGTTTTTTTTAGCTTTCACAGTTGTATACCCCCCAAAAAAATTATCGAGACTGGGAGATATTACAGTATAGATGCATTGATAATTCAATGTTGTACGTTTCAATTCAAATTTTCATTAATGAAAAGGTCACAACTAACAGTATTTTTTATGCTTAGAGGAGCGGAATTAATGTTTCCACATATGCGAACTTTTACTTATTATACTTGAAATAGTTTAAAAACGACTTTATTAGTAAACAAAAATAAATGAATAAATAAAAAATCAAATCAAAACACTTGTCTGCAAAAGCAATTCTACTAATCAACTAGTAAAACACATGAAAAATGTTAACAAATCACACAATAATTACACAGTTGCCGAATTAACACAAATGGGTGCCGAATTAACTAGATTCTGATGCCGAATTCACCAGATTCTGATGCCGAATTCACCAGGTGCCGAATTCACCTAGTGCCGAATTCACCAGGTGCCGAATTCACTTGTACCCGCTCTGTCAACCAGATATGACACATCCTGTAATTTTACATTTGAAGCAACAACACATATTTTATTCAATTTTTTTAAAGAATTGTTTAAGAACAAAAAAGAGAATTTGATTTTTAGAATGTCATAGTGATGACAGAGAAAGATGAGTTAACGCATCCCAATCATTTCAACATGAGAAAAGATGTACGGCTGGCGTGACGTTAAAATGACGTAGTGATGCTGCTCCAGGTCGATAGACTTTTGCAAGTTTATAATTTCACCTGGACTTATCTATCCTATTATTGAGAAATTTTGCACATTTGTTTTCTTTGTTCTTGATAAAATGTTAACGAATTTTCATGAATTTATAAATATCTTTCTTTCATGGAGTAAAAGTTAAATGTCTCAATGATTTCCAAACAGCCCTCGTATATATGTGATAAAACTGTAAAAGGATTGAAAAAACTTTCTCTCCTTGTACGTAAGTTAATGTCAACACTCCATAATTGCAGTACTTTATTATTTTCCTTCATCAGTTATACATTTTGTACAACTTATCATTATTATCATCATTTTATTTATCATTAGCATCATTGTATCAAGCGTGAATACATAATAATACTTTCGGATTAAACAGTTTTGCACCAAAACAAATTAACAAAATGTCAAATATACAATCAACCACCGGAATCACACGCAATTAAATCAGAGCTATTGTGCCTGGTTCTCTGCTCTGTCGGCGTTTGTGTCTGGTTCTCTTCACTGTGGGCATTTAAACTGTTCACAACTGAACAACAGCCCTTATGCTGCAATATAGAGAAATTAAAATTTGAAGCAAAAAATTGAACTATTCATCATTGCAATTATTTGGTTAAGAGCTATATTATTACTGGCTTTAAGGGGAATATGACTGGATATTAAAGTCAAATATACATATATTTCTTTCATGCTTTCATTTAGTTGGCTTTATCAAAAACAGTCAATTTTAACTGTTGGTAATTAAATTTAATTCTCATAAACACCAAAGAATTGTGACAGTGATAATGAAATATAATAAAACTGGTTTTTTATGATATTTTCTTTAGTCTGAATGTTCTAATCCAATTTTGTCCATGTACATATATTTCATATTTTTAGAAAAATACAATCTAGAGTAAATTTTGTATTAGATAAGTTATATTTTTTAATGGTGTAAAAAAACAGAAAAAGTTACCTTTTGCCAGCATGCATCAGGTCAAATGCTTCGTTAATCTTGTCCAGGCTAAGATTATGAGACACAAACTCATCCACCATTATCTTCTTGTTCATGTATCCCTCCACAAGCTTGGGAACACTGTCTCGGCTCTTCCAACCTATCAATAGGGAGTGGATAAATGTTAACAGTTGTCACAACAAACATTTCTAATAGAAACATTGGTAATACTATAGGCACTGTGGAATAAGATTTAACCCTTGAAAAACTATAAAGTATGTATATATCTTTATTTCCAAATGACACAAACAAATAAAATGCTGCACAGATCTCAGGAACTAATTAAATGATGGCTTAGTTTCCACTAACATGTTATAGAGACAAAAAAAACAAAACAAAGGAAGTGATTAAACATATAGAGTGACAATGGGAGAAACTTGTTAAGAGGGAAAACCTGGGGAATTGATAGTAAACACAATTACACCTGATTAAACTATACATCTTATTAGCATTCCAAGTGATAAGGCAAGCTCTTCATGGTGTGTGGGTCTGACGTCAGTATTTTACCTCCAAAAGCAGTTCCTTTCCAGACTCGGCCAGTGACTAGCTGGAATGGGCGGGTAGAGATCTCCTGACCGGCAGCAGCCACTCCAATTATAGTGGACACACCCCAGCCTTTATGACAGGACTCCAACGCTGCTCTCTATAACCGACATCAATAGAAAACAAAGAGACTTAACCTATAATGTTATAATACAGATCTTCATGACCCAAATGTTATTTTTATACTGATATAAATTTGAAGTTTGTGTATTAATGAGAAATCTCTTCTAATTCTGACACTGACCATACATGCGACATTTCCGATACACTCAAATGTGAAGTCCAGACCCCCATCTGTCATGCCAACTAGAACCTCCTGGATAGGTTTGTCATAATCCTTAGGATTTACCCCCTCTGTCAGCCCAAACTTCTTACCTGAAATCAGTGTATAAGATTAATTCATGGCAGAACCAAAACAATCAGTCAAAGACTTTATGTCAAGTAATGTTTAGGATTTAATTTTCACTTATTTTGTCTCTTGTAACCTAATCCCTGGTGTTTGAATTCATGCTAATATTAAGGTTTTTTTTCATTGCATTCATAATGATAATTTAAAATATATAACAAGAGGCCCAGGGGCCACATCGCTCACCTGAGCACTGTGGCTAGGAAAAGAGAGAAAATCAGTTTAGTATTGAAAAGCTTAAATGCATAAGTGGTCCCAACCTACCCCTAAAAGGGAGGGGGGTATGATTTTAACAAAATTAAATCTTCATTAACTAAGGATGCTTATATAATTTTTTGACTGTGACTTTTTTCTCTACAAGATTGAACTTTCATTGTGGCCCCACCCTACCCCTGGAGGTCATGATTTGAATAAACTTGAATCTACACTGTCTGAGGATGCTTCCATATAAATACGACAAACCGTGGCTTTGCTAATCTTCAGAAGATTTTTAAAGATTTTTCCAATATAGTCCTATGTAGAACTTTGATCGTTCATTGTGGCCCCACCCTACCCCCGTGGGTCATGATTTGAACAAACTTGAATCTACACCACCTGATGATGCTTCCATATAAATATGACCAATCATAGCTTTGCTGTTCTTGAGAAGAAGATTTTTGAAGATTTTCCCTACATATTCCTACGTAAAACTTTGATCGTCCATTGTGGCCCCACCCTACCCCTGGGGGTCATGATTTGAACAAACTTGAATCTACACCACCAGCAGATGCTTCCATATAAATATGATCAATCATAGCTTTGCTGTTCTTGAGAAGAAGATTTTTCCTATATATTCCTATGTAAAACTTTGATCGTCCATTGTGGCCCCATCCTACTCCTGGGGGTCATGATTTGAACAAACTTGAATCTACACTACCTGACAATAATTCCACATGAGTTTCATCTTTCTTGGCCCATTGGTTCTTGAGAAGATTTTTCAATAATGCCATTAATTTTTTGCTATTTCATAATTATCTCCCCTTGGAGGAGGGCGTGGCCCTTCACTTGAACAAACTTGAATCCCCTTAACCCAAGGATACTTTGTGCCAAGTTTGATTGAAATTGGCCCAGTAGTTCTGGAGAAGAAGATAAAGTGAAAAGTTTACGACAACAACGACGACGACAGACAACAGACAAATTTTGATCAGAAAAGCTCACCTGAGCCGAAGGCTCAGGTGAGCTAATAATTTCTTGAATTTGCATCTTTATAAAAACAAATATAAAATAAAACTTTAAGGACAGATGATACAAACAAAAATATGGATGCCTGGATTGGTATATATTTTTTGGCCTATTTTGGTTGTAAATGATAACAATAAATTTCTAAAATATTAAGAATTTGTAAACTTTCTATGTTGTTCAAAATTCAACCTTTCTGCAACCATCCTTATTAATCTATACAATTTTTTGTCACTTAAAATTCCATTATTGTGAAACTTTGAATGAAAAATTAAAATCTGTGTAGTTAAACTTATTCATTTTACTCATATAAATATAACTTAGGTTGTTATTTTCAGGATTTTTGATAAAAGGTTGTTTGTATCATCTGTCCTTAAAATACCCCAAGTTATTTTCCCCCAGTATTCTGTTACAGTTCTTTTTTACCAAACAGGAAACAGACATACCTACCTAATTCAAACTTATCTGGGTTGATGTCAATGCCTATTATTCTTGAAGCACCAGCTTCCCTACAACCCATAGCAACAGCCAGTCCTACTGCTCCAAGTCCCCAAATAGCACAGGTGGATCCAGGTTCTACCTGTTTAAATTAAACTAAGATAAATAGGTGGATCCAGGTTCTACCTGTATAAATCAAACTAAACTACACACATGGATCCAGCTTCTATCTGCATAAATCAAACTAAAACTATACAGGTGGATCCAGGTTCTGCCTGTATAAATCAAACTAAAATACACAAGTGGATCTACATTTCGCATGTTAAACAGAAAAATTTATTAACAACAGACCTCTTCAAAAAGTAAGAAAAATTTCAAGTCATAAAATAAACTACTGAGTCATTTTTCCAAAAAAAAAAATCTGTGATCAAAAGCACAAAACTATAGTGTGCAACCATCAAAGCCCTGTTTTTCATACACTATCTATCAAGTTACTATATGTCACCATATAATACTGAATCAGTACAGAGTTAAATTTGTCTTCAATACCATCATGAGTACAATACAAGGAGACTCTATCAAGACTACAGAATAATTTGTTTTCCTGGTATCAAACTTTAAATCTTCCATTTTTAAAAGGCAGGTTTTGAAAATAAAAACTTTGACACCACTTCTTTTTATTTGTGTAAATCAAAAGCATGTTTTAATCAATGAAACAATCTTCCCAAACCTTTGCTGTGTTAAGAGCAGCTCCATATCCAGTTGATATACCACAACCCAGCAGACACGCCTTGTCTAGAGGAGCAGACGGATTTATCTGTCAATCAAAACCAATATCAATGAGGATCACACAACCTGATGTCTTAAAATCACTCATGTGTAAAGATAAACCATTGTTACCTTGGTAACTGATATCTCTGCAACAACAGTGTACTGACTGAAGGTACTGCAACCCATAAAATGGAAGAGAGTCTTTCCCTTGCATTTAAAGCGAGAGGTTCCGTCCGGCATCACGCCTTTACCCTGGGTGGTCCTATTAAGAGGACAGCAAAATCTAGCATTTAAGTTCTCCAATAAATTTCCGCAATACACTGCCCTGACTACAACAGCATTGTCTTGATCTGAATACATTGAAGCCATTATTAATATAACAATATGTATCTATGGTGGAAAACAACTGATCAATTAAGAAAACAGAAACAATTTCAGAATTACACATTCCACCTTTACTACAAACTCAAAATGAACAACAGCAGAGTTCTGTAATTTAACATGAGAGTTTAGTATCCCTACATATTTACCTTATTTTGCCACATAGATTGGTCTTTGGTGACTTGCAGAACTTGCAGTCATTACACTGAGGAATGTATAAAGGTACCACGTGATCACCTAAAGACAACAGAAATTTACAAGTCAAAAAAATAGAAAACTCATAGAGGGCTTATATATAGAATTCTTATACGTCAATTCTTTGTAGAGTCTTTTAGCCTTGACTTTTGAGCAAGTGTCCAATGAATTTTCTGATTACCTGGTGAATGATAATAAAAAATGATTCTTTTTTTTCAAAAAGTTTTATCCTCTTATCATGTTCAGGCATGACATGAAAATTTAATTTTAGGTCAAAATATACCAATTACTTAAATAAGAAATAGCCATATCAAAAGTTTTGACTCTGACCTTGACCTACATTCAAAAGACGTCTTCTTCTAACATCTTTTATCTTTGTTGTAGTTTTTGTATCACAAGTCATTTACATAATGAACGAGTCATTGTTAAATCAAAAGATGTCCTTTTTGAAGCAATCCCCATTTACGTGTGCATATACTATTTATAAAGTCCACAGAAAACAAAAAGTTTTATTTATTGCCTTTTGATGCTTGGTTTTGAATAACTTTTTTTATTACAAATGAGTATTATTGTATGCTTATTTACTGGAAAAAAATGAATTATTTTTAAGTGTTAATGCAAAAATTATCCTTTTAGAAAACTTTGACCTGAACTGACCTGGTTTACTGAGATGACCCCTTCTCCAACACTTACTGACCTAGTTGTACTGAGGTGATCTATTTTCCTACACTTACTGACCTGGTTGTACTGAGGTAACCCCTTCTCCCACACTTACTGACCTAGTTGTACTGAGGTGACCCTTCTCCCAAACTTAATTACCTGGTAGTACTGAAGTGACCCCTTCTCTCACACTTACTGACCTGGTTGTACTGATGTGACCCCTTCTCCCACACTTACTGACCTGGTTGTACTGAGGTGACCCCTTCTAAAAAATAATTACCTGGTTGTACTGAGGTGACCCCTTCTCCCACACTTACTTACCTAGTTGTACTGAGGTGATCTCTTCTCCTACACATACTTACCTGGTTGTACTGAGCTGGCCGCCTTCTTCCACATTTACCTACCTTGTTATACTGAGAAGACTTCTTCTCCTATAATTAATGACCTGGTTGTACTGAGTTGACCCCTTCTCCCACATTTACTTACCTTGTTATACTGAAGTGACCCCTTCTCTTACACTTACTGACTGGTTGTACTGGGGTGACCCCTTCTCCCACATTAACTTACCTTGTTATACTGAAGTGACCCCTTCTCCTACACTTACTGACCTGGTTGTACTGAGGTGACCCCTTCTCCCACACTCTCTACAACTCCACCTCCTTCGTGTCCCAAGATAATAGGGAAAGCCCCCTCAGGGTCAAATCCATCCAGTAAATAGGCATCTGTATGGCACACTCCAGAGTGCAGAATCTATGGCAGAAAATATCTCTTAATATCTTACTTATGAAGCTCAAGAATATCTCAATTTCTTTTTCCATCTCTTTAAGGCTTAATTTCATACTGTTTTAAGCACTGTTTTATCTGATTTCAAGCAAAAAATGTTATTTGGAATTTTATGACAGTTTTTTTTTTTTTTTTTTTTTTTTTTTTTAGAAAATATCATTAACTATGATATTTCAAATACATGTAGGAAACGAAAACTGCTGAAATTCGCCATAAATCTAAACTCATTTAAAATCTGTCTTTAGTTAACAGGGTTGTCCCTTAGACCCGAGGGCCGGGGAATTTCCCTGCCTATTATGATACAATCCCCCAGTTATTCTTGTATGCCCCCCTCAATTCCCTCTTAAGAGAGGACCCCAGACCCCCTTCTACTTTTTTAATGTCCCCTGCTATTTCAAATCTTAGGGACAACCCTGGTTAAGCTATGGTATTTCCTTAAGTTAAGCTATGGTGTTCCCTTTAGTTAAGCTATGATGTTCCCTTTAGTTAAGCTATGTTGTTCCCTTTAGTTAAGCTATGATGTTCCCTTAAGCTATGATGTTCCCTTTAGGTAAGCTATGTTGTTCCCTTAAGCTAAGCTATGGTGTTCCCTTTAGTTAAGCTATGTTGTTCCCTTTAGTTAAGCTATGGTGTTCCCTTAAGTTAATCTATGGTGTTCCCTTTAGTTAAGCTATGTTGTTCCCTCAAGTTAAGCTATGTTGTTCCCTTCAGGTAAGCTATGGTGTTCCCTTTAGTTAATCTATGGTGTTCCCTTTAGTTAAACTATGTTGTTCCCTTTAGTTAAGCTATGTTGTTCCCTTCAGGTGAGCTATGGTGTTCCCTTTAGTTAATCTATGGTGTTCCCTTTAGTTAAGCTATGTTGTTCACTTTAGTTAAGCTATGTTGTTCCCTTTAGGTAAGCTATGTTGTTCACTCAAGTTAACTATGTTGTTCTCTTTAGGTAAGCTATGTTGTTCCCTCAAGTTAAGCTATGTTGTTCCCTTTAGGTAAGCTATGTTGTTCCCTTTAGGTAAGCTATGTTGTTCCCTTTAGTTAAGCTTTGGTGTTCCCTCCAGGTAAGCTATGTTGTTCCCTTTAGTTAAGCTATATTGTTCCCTTTAGGTAAGCTATGTTGTTCCCTTTAGTTAAGCTTTGTTGTTCCCTTTAGTTAAGCTTTGGTGTTCCCTCCAGGTAAGCTATGTTGTTCCTTTTAGTTAAGCTATGGTGTTTCTTTTAGTTAATCTATGGTGTTCCCTTTAGTTAAGCTATATTCCCTTTAGTTACCTTTATTCGGACCTCTCCAGCCTTTGGTGGCTCCACTTCCACCCTTTCTATGACGAGGGGCTTCTTGGCCTCCCACGCCACAGCAGCTTGACATGTTATTACCTGTTAAACAATGAAGTGTTCAAATTATTTCTTTTTTTCATTTAAAATAAAAAAAAAAAAAAAATAACGAAACTAATTAAATTTCAAATGTTTGATGTCAAAATGATGTCAAAATGAAACTCATATCCTTATACCCCCTCCTCACCCCTTTTTACAGAACATTTTCACAGATAGTATGGACTTTGGGTGTTGCTGATGAATAATGGATTATGTAAGCCAGGGTTCGACATTCACGCTTGTCACTTCGTCATTTCCATCCCGGGATGATTTTTGACGACCTGATTTTTCAGTCTGGCTTGCCCAAATGACGACCTGGGACGAGTTGGGAATATTCAATAATGATGTTTAATATTATATAAATAGTGCACGTTTTTGAGGGTAACAGTTGAAATTGACACTCCAAGGAAACCATTGTCAACCGACACGTCAGCTTCTATTTTTCTCAATAAGAAAGCTTCGGAAAAGATTTACCAACCTCGTTATTGTTTGTTTGCTACTCAAAAAGTCCTTTATCATCTAAAGTTTGCACTCGCAAGGATGTTTCGTCTGTCATTTGTTGTTTTCAAGTGAGCTACATTGGACGCAAGCTTTTATTGATGTCGTTTATTCGGCTTCTTTCAAACGCACAACCGACATTTTGAGAATTCTACGGTGAACCGTACGCGCATGAAATAAATGCATGTGACATTTTCGTAATGTTACCCGTTGTCAAGTGTGTTGCTAACGCTGAGGGTAACACTACGGATTGTTAAATGCGTCTAAACCAATCAGATTTTAGTATTTAACATGAAAGTATAATAATTTAAAATAAACTTGATAAGACCTTAAAAACATTGTTTCCTGTAACCTGACCAACCCATTCAAATTACAGCCGTGTGGATTTTTTTTTCTGCCAAATCTGTGTTCTATTAATCAGCTGATGCAATTTTTACCAAAAGTCTTAAATTGAGTTTTATTTGAGATATAAAATATGGCAACCTAGTCAACAATCACCTTAAATATACAGAGTAATAATCATCATTGTAACATCTAGCATTTCCCCCACAACTTTCTGATGTTCGTTTTCTGCTGCTAGCCAGCCATGCTGGGTGTCCACTGTAATATCACACCTGGTTAATTCAGTCCAGGGATATTTGACACTATTTATTTAGGCCTTTATGGTAAGTGAAAATGAATGTTTTAGACTAGAAACTTTATTATGTGTCAATATGTGAGTACATTGATACATTAACAAAAAAAAAAAAATCTCGACCTACCAGGGATCGGCGTTAACAGTTGTCCGATTGCCCGGGACAAGTAAATTCTCAGTTCGGGCAAGTGAAACTGTCGAAGTACTTGTCCGATTGGGCAAGTGAATTTTTTTCCTACAAATGTATATATCATTTAGTTTTCATTAATTTGTAAATAAACAATACATTGAACATTTGATTTCCGCCAGGTACCTGACTGATATTGTTTTTGCATTCGGAATTCCTTGGTAGCGTTTCTAGATTATACCGTCCATTTAAAAATAGGTTTCATTTTTCTGTTTTCTTTCGTGGTAAAATACACTAAAACCTCCAACAACTTTGTTACCTACTTCGTACTTATTTAGGTTATTTATTCACACACTTACAAATAAGTAACATGATATATCCTGATCAAATGTACGTTTCCTAGCAACTATCTTCTTTTAGCGTTGCTTAACAGATATCTCTGAAAATTACAATTAACAAAAGGATCCTACCAAAAATAATTTTTAAAAATGTGATTTTTATTAAAAGGAAATGGAGGATTGTTGCTGCATGGCAGTGTGTGTTAAAAGGTTAAATTGACAAGGACAGTGGTATACATTTAATTACAAACGCATATCATAAGTGTTTTTTGATCACATTTTTTTCTTAGCATAACATAATTTTCTTTCCTAATTTTGGGCAACCAAGTTTTGCATTCGGACAAGTCAAAGTTTGAGATCACTTGCCTGAAAGGCAAGTGAATCTGAAAGTTAATGTCTATCCCTGCCTACCAATCGTTGATTTATTTGGAATATTACAGGAATCAAAAATAAATTTTTTAAAGCCTAATTTAATAGCATTCTGATTCTGCTTATAATATTTGTTATTTATTTTCTTTGTTTGATAAATTGCTGGAAGACATCTTTTGACATTCCGAAAATGTCTGGTTTATATTTTATATAACAAAAGCACAACTTCTGTTATCTTATCAAATTTTAAACAATTGCACATTTTTGTTTCATTTGATATTTTGTTCGGGCAACCTGAAATTAATTTGGGCAACCTGCGATCATTCCCATGGTTTCCCAAATGGTGAAACCAAATTTTGACGAGTGTCGAACCCTGTAAGCCAAACTAACTATTTGTACAATATATATATATACATATATATATTCAATATCAAATTCAGTATATTTACCTGACTTCTCCTATGCCAACACTTGCTCTGAGAAACAATATTTAACAAACACTACAGTAACTACAGTCTGACAGGTCAGTGTAAATAATTTCATAATATACAGGTCCAGTCCACAGACTATTTCTACCTACGTAGCTACTTATAGCTACCTAGGTATTTAAACCTACTCCAGGTAGCTATTTTTACCTACTTTTTGCTTTATTTGCATTTTGTGGCCAAACACAGGAACGGCACAATATGATGAGCACAAAATTTCTAAATACAGTCACACTGATGATGAACACAACAAAAATTTTGGCAAAAAATGATTACTTTCTCACTTAACAATTTCGCATAAAAAACTACATCCATTTTCATTTTGGGTAGCTAAGTATGAAATGAATTCAGACTAAAATGACCCACAAATCTGTATCAATTTTAAAACTTATCTTCAAGAATTCTTATATGAAATGTTTTGGGGTGATTTTTAATGCATTTCCTCTCCAATCTCCACCTTCAAAAAAGTTTTCAAATTAACACCCCAAATTTTTCCATGCAAGTGCACAAGATGATAAACAACAAGTTTGACATGTTCTAAAGATGCACCATAATTATTATTTAATCTTAATTTCAAAGAGAGGTAAAATTAGGTAGAAGTGGCTACTTCAAATAGCTTTATATACCTAGGTAGCTATTAATAGCTATGTAGGTAGAAATAGTAGTTGGACCTGATATAGGCATGTCAGAGCCTAGATAGAATGTTCTATCGTTAAAATGATATTGTCCTACGGACCCGGTTTAACGATAGAATTTGTTCCGTGTATTGGCAATGTTGCAAAATTATAAACACAGGCGATAACTCAAACTCTCTGCATTTTCTATGAACAACCCAGCAATGATTTTTTTTGTTTTTTGAACCATCACCCCCTCCTTTTGAATTGGGAAAAATTAGCGACATTTTCCTCAAATTGGGAAAAATCATTTATAGTAAATTAGAATGCTAAAAAATACATAAAATAATCAAACTAAGTAACAACAACAGTTTTTGTTTGATTTTAACTTTGAATTTGATTTAAATTCATATTAAAATAATCATTTAAAAAATTAACATCAATATTTTATTGAATGTGAACATGGCTTATATTAGTCACACCTTGTAGCTTCTATTTTCTTGGAATTGCTTTGTATAATTTCATAAAAAAAAACAAACCAGCATTTAGACTCATAATCTAGTAAACAGTCTTATATTGATAATCAAGTTTTCAGTCTTCAATGTTTGTTTTTTCCTGATTTTAGCGAAACCCTATGTTTTGTCCATTTCCTGTTATTAGCCTGACCCTCTATGTAATAATGGCGGTCAATGTCAACATGCAACATGACTTGTATCTGGGAACTATTTACCAATTCATTTAGGATATTATATGCTACTTATCTGCTTCTATGAATATCTGCATTGTTTTCCACATTCATTAAAAAAATTGGCTGCATTATAATGCATGGATATGGAGAATAAAATTAAGGAATAAAAACGTATTTACTCTGTCAGCAAATTTAGCGACTTTTGTTCTAAATTTAAATATAATTTCTGTTCGTTTGAAATTGGGAAAAATATACTAATAATTGGGAAAAAACAGCTAATTTTTGTGAGGGGAAACAGCCGAATATCGGTGGCATTTTGACCCAAAAAAACACTGCCCAGAGAGTTCTGAATGTCAACAAGTTGTTAAATTTGAAGTGAGAAAAAAAAAACGTTGAGAAGATGAGTTGAATTTTCGTATTTAGGCCAAAAAAAATAATAGTCTTGTTTCCTGCTACCTGACCTACCCTATTTTTTTGCACCCGACCCTAAAGTTTTTTTTAAGTTTGGAAGAAAAAAAATTGGGAATTTCCCGAATTTCACCGTTCTGTCACTGTAATCGTTTTCCATGTTAACACAAAACAAACATTTCATGAAATTCTTGTTTTAAATATGGACTTTCATAAAATACCACTTGAGTTGTGTATAAAAAGACATGAAATTTAATTTTGCAAGACAAGATTGACCTGTGACATGTTTAATTTTATCTTGTATTAGTTCATATCCAAAAAATGTTGTCGGAAAAAAAAATATATAAAATAAAATAATTTTCCTACCTACCTACCCTATTTTTTCCAGGCTGGTAGCAGGAAACAAGACTATTATTTTTTTTGGTCTTATATGGATTATTTTTTAGGTTAAAAGGCATATACAATCTCAAAAAGGTTTGTTATTATTAATTTGGTAGTTATTTTCAGTTTAACTCCTTTTGTATTCTTCAAAATCATTTCAGAGTGGATCCACTCCGATTTGCTACATTGCAAGTATATAGGACGTATTCTAACTGTGGTGAGGGCTTGTCCCAAGACACAGATTATTCTAACTAGTCAGGGCCTAGTGAGGGTCCAAGCTATTTGCTATAACTGTCCTAGTGTTAATGTGCAATTCATGTTTTGTTTTATTTTCAAGACGAAAGTTCTTGTTGACAAAATGTGACAGCGCTACTATTGCTTGCCAATAAGTCATTTTCGATAATTCAGAATTGCCCAATATTGTCGGGATCGAGATACGTCCTGAAAGGCGAAATTATCATCTTGACTTAAGCACTTTTTTGCATTCAAAACATATATGTGAAATGCAATGGTTAAATAAATCAACATGCTGTTGCTAAAATAAATGGCATTTAAATCATCTGCTGACATCAACCGCTTTCCTTAAAATGCCAATATCTATACTTCCACCCACCTTGCCGGCTGTGTCCGCCATCTTAGAAGTCAGGAGATAGTGTGTCGTGTGCAAATCTGAACCCGAGAAAAAAATGTGTTATATGCAGATCTATGCGTGGATATCAGATCATTAAACATTTTGATGAACAATTAATTAAGAACCCTCTCTTCACTGCACACTAAAGAGTTCTGATTCTGTGGTATTCTCCTGCAGTTAGAGTAATCTGCCCCTAGAATCAAAGAAATCGAAAGTGTAAACATGGTTAAATATTCAATTTGTAATCAACACGCTAAGTTAAATTAAGGTATGTCACTCGAGAAATTAGATAAATCAATGATTTTTGAGAAGTATACTTTAGATAAGTACTCATATAAATTGCAAAGAAAATTAAGAGTCAATGTGCATATCTTACCAAGCAACGGTACAATAACCAGTCTAGAAGAACTCCAAAAACGGCGTGAACTCCGAAAACGAAGTTTTTGGCTCCATCATGCATTGCGGCAAAATGGCGACCGATTTAAACAAACGATGAATTGTCGTTCCCTTTCTCCAAACATACGGTTGCATAATGGCTGTATTTAGTATATTGTGATTATTTTTTGTTGAACAGGCTCGGATCCAGCAATTTTTTCCAGGGGGGGGGGGGGTGTTCCACCACAGTCAAAAAAAAATTCCAACCCAGAAATTTCTTTGACAAGCCAAAAAAAAAAAATTAAAATTCCCTTTCCAAACATGTTAATCCTAGAAAATTTAAAAAAAAAAAAGTTTTTCAAAAGTAGGTCAAACTCCTAAGTCAAGGTCAAAGGGTCAAAGTGGTTGGTATCCAAAGGAAGGTCTTTCACAAGGATTACATATGTGAAGTATGAAAGCCCTAGCATCAATCATTCAAAAGTTATGGCCAAGGTTAAAGTTTTTCAAAAGTAGGTCAAACTCCTATATCAAGGTCAAAGGGTCAAAGTGGTTGGTATCCAAAGAAAGTTCTTGTCACAAGGATTACATACGTGAAGTATGAAAGCCCTAGCTACAACTGTTCAAAAGTTATGGCGAAGGTTAAAGTTTTTCAAAAGTAGGTCAAACTCCAAGGTCAAAAGGTCAAAGTTGTTGGTATCCAAAGGAAGGCCTTGTCACAAAGAATACACATGTGAAGTTTGAAAACCCAAACACCAACTGTTCAGAAGTTATGGCCAAGGTTAAAGTCTCATAAAATTTTGCAAAAGTGGGTCAAACTCCAAGGTCAAGGTCAAATATGATTGTACCCAAAGAAAGGTCTTGTCACAAGGAATACACAAGTGAAATATGAAAGTCATAGCTCCAACCAATCAAAAGTTATGGATTAAAAGTATAAGATGGATGTTGAAATCTCGCATTAAGCAATTGAGGGGCAATATAAAAACCATCTATCCTTCTGTCTTCACTAATTCAGAAGTGAAAAAAGAATTAGAGAGATTACACGATCAGTAGGTACTGGTCCCAACTGACAAAGCAGGTAACAACTTCTTCTTTGTTTCTAAGGCTCATTATTTTAATTGTATCTTAGAACAGCTGGGATTCAATTCTGTAAGTGGTAAATCAACTTATACCCATAGCGCCCTTTCTAAGGAGAAAATTCTTCAAAATCATATGTCAGTTTAAAATATTTCTAATATTCCTAACAATCAAATTGAATTTGAATTACCATACTTATACTGGATTCCTTAACTATAGCTACATACAAAGATACATAGCGGGTTACTAGCAGTGAAGGAGAAACTTCAGGAGTACTGTACAACAAAATATTCGAGAAGTGGTGTAAATCAGATGCGGATACTCAGAAATTCCAAGGAACTTTGAGAAAATTTGAAATCACAAAATTTTACCAAAATCAATAAGATCAAAACGTACGACTTTTCAACACTTTATAAAACCAATCCTCACGATAAATTAAAGTTCAGGCTTTTTGACATCATAAACAGCTGCCGTTTCAAATAAAATGAAACTCATAAATTTACTTATTTTGTCATTGGTCATTTGCAAAATTATTTTGTTAAAAACATTCTGATTGTAAACACAAATACTCCGAAGATGATATTAAAAAGATGCTTGAGTTTCTGATTGACAATATCTATGTAGCGTTTGGAGATCAAGTTTTCTAACAATCTGGAATTGTCGGAATTGTCTGCAATCTGTCAGAATTCCCATGGATACCAATTAAGCCCTTTTATTAGCAGACCTATTTTTCTATTCATATGAAGGAAAATTTATTCAAAAACTTCTACACGAGAAGAAGAGAACACTTGATGTGGCCTTCAACTCGACATTTAGGTATATCGACGACGTATTGTCAATTAACAATGGTTATTTCCATTCTTATGTCGACTCGATATATCCCTGTGAACTTGAAATAAAAGATACCACAGAGTCTGACACATCTGTTTCATATTTGGATATTTTACTAGAAAAAGACGTCAATGTTAACCTACCAACAAAGCTTCATGATAAACGTGATGACTTCAACTTTTCTATCGTTAACTTTCCTTATTTATGTAGCAATTAATATACCCTTATCAACTCTATATGAGGTTTATGTCTCCCAGTTGATTCGATGCGCACGAGTATGCTCTAAATGAACAATTGCTAAAACAAGGCAAACTATTGACAAACAAGTTGATGAAAAGAACATCAACAGTCTCGTTTAGAGTCAACATTTCGCAAGTTCTATGGTCGATACAATGACCTTGTAAGCAAATACAATCTATCAGTCGAAGCTGACTGACGTTTTTCATACCAACTGTTAAGCCATTATTTACACACTAAATTGTCTAAGGATTTTTCTGTTTGCCTGATCATAACTAGGAGCATACGGCGGGTGTGACCGGTCCACAGGGGATGCTTACTCCTCCATGGTACCTGATCACACCTCCCGATCTGTATTGTTTCAATGGACTTTTGAGCTTGATACTGTTCGTTATCTCCATTTTTCATACGAAGCCTCCAATATAAGTGGGCTCCCCCACGAAAAATAAGAATTTGAGTATTGTTGTCCTTTTTTATGTCAGAATAAAACCCTCCTCTCCAACAAATCGAGTTCATTATTAAGCTTGGCAAGTAATTGTTAATTCGTATTTTTTTTTTTTTTTTTTTTTGGTCAAGACGAGAAAATTGCTGTCCTCTTTTTAAGCCGCTATGGTCACTCAGATGACCTATATCTGTATGACCTGTACGTCTACCGTAAATTTTTTAACATTTTCTGAAATGGTTGAACCAATTTCGGATAAAGCATTTTTGGATAAAAGGGTGGGCTAAGTCTATCATAGACTTATGATAAATGTGATTACCTTCATTTTTTTCATCGTCAATTTCCCTTACTTATGTAGCAATATACCCAGACCACCTGCATATGGGGTTTACGCACGTCTCTCAGTTGATTCGATACGCCAGAGCATGCTCTACGTATGAACAATTTCTAAAACGAGGTAAGTTATTGACAAACAAGTTGATGAAACAAGAATATCAACAGTCTCGTTTAAAGTCATCATTTCGTAAGTTCTATGGTCGATACAATGACCTTGTCAGCAAATATATACATTCCATCATTAAGTCAAATGCTGACTGACTTGTTAGGCCATTATCTACACAGGATTGAGTACTTATTTTAATCAGGCTAACAATTTGCCTCCTAGATGTCTGTGAGTAATGAAAGAGAAAAGATGTACACGTAATGTACTTTCAATAATTATATGACCCACCCTGGGGTCTGAACCATCGTTATGAGGCAAATAACGCTGCAATTTATGTAGAGGACTAGGTGTTAATTATAACCATGCAAACAGTTTGTCCTCTACATATCTACTAGTAAAGGAGATTTTCAAAACTCAAGTATCTTTTTAGTATCAACTTCAGAGTACTTGTGTGTACAATCAGAATGTTTTTTAATAAAACAATTTTGCAAATGACCAATGACAAGGTAAGTACATTTACGAGTTCCATTGTTATTGAAAAAGCAGCTGTTAATAATGTCAAAAAGCTTGGACTTTAATTTATCGTTAGGAATGGTTGTATAAAGTGTTGAAAAGTCGCACGTTTTGATGTTATTGATTTTGTTGAAATTTTGTGATTTCAAATTTTCTAAAAGTTCCTTGGAATTTCTGAGTATCCACATCTGATTTACACCTCTTCTCAAATATATTGTTATACAGTACTCCTGAGGTTTCTCCTTCACTGCTAATGAGGAGTAAAGAAACAGACTTGGTAGAATATATACTGGAACCCGCTATGTATCTTTGTATGTAGCTATAGTTAAGGAATCCAATGGTAATTCAAATTCAATTTGTTTTTTTTTGGGGGGGGGGGATATTAAAAATATTTTAAACTGACATATGATTTTGAAGAATATCCTCCTTAGAAAAGGAGCTATGGGTATAAGTTGAATTACCGCTTGCAGAATAAAATCCAGTTCATCTAAAATACATTTAATATAATGAACCTTACAAACAAAGACAATGTTGTTACCTGCTTTGTCAGCTGGGACCATTACATATTGATCGTGTAGTCTCTCTAATTCTTTTTCCACTTCTGAAATATTGAAGATAGGATAGATATAGGAAAAGGAGAAAGAAGGGTTTGGATCAGAATATATTTATAGTCTATAAAAAGACAGTCAATATCATCAGTTCCAGTAACTGTCAGCGTGTGTCAGTACGAATAGTATAACAATTGAGTTGTTGTTCAAAACTGTACAATTTGACATCTATTTATAGAACTTGTTTTGTTTTAAATTTCAAGTCACGAAGTACATTAACCAGGATACATCCATCGAACTTATCACTTTACCACTTTGTTTGGTCACTTGAAGGTCTCTCATCGAACTTATCACTTTACCACTTTGTTTGCTCACTTGAAGGTCTCTCATCGAACTTATCACTTTACCACTTTGTTTGGTCACTTGAAGGTCTCTCATCTCGAACCATGCTTATTTATTTATTTTTTTATTTTTTGTTACACTACATTATTTTTGTGTATTTGATATATAGAGAACGAGTTTCAATAAATCCATACATTAAATTATTGCATTTATTAGTCTGAAATATATTTTGTTATTCTAGTCGTAAGTACAAATGGGCCTCCGATTTTAAGA